AGAAGAGGTTCAGAGCTGCAGGAGGAGTTGGATAAATATACTCAGGCCCTAAGAACAAATGAAATTTCAAGGCAAACCATAGAGGAAAAAGACAGAAGTCTTGCATCCATGAAAGAGGAAAACAATCATCTGAAAGAAGAACTGGAACGCCTCAGGGAGCAGCAGAGTCGGGCTGCCCCTGCAGCTGAGCCTAAAACACTGGACGTTATTATAGAACTGGAATCTGAGGTGTCTCGGCTGAATATAATAAAGGGGGACCTTGAGGAGGAAATAAAGCGCTATCAAAAGACAATTGAAGATCAAAACCAGAGTAAGATGCAGCTACTTCAGTCTTTACAAGAGCAGAAAAAGGAGATGGATGAGTTCAAATACCAGCATGAGCAAATGAATATCACACATACTCAGCTCTTTTTAGAGAAGGATGAGGAAATTAAGAGTTTGCAAAAAACAGTTGAACAAATCAAAACCCAGTTTCATGAAGAAAGACAGGACATTCAAACAGAAAATTCTGATATTTTTCAAGAAACAAAAGTTCAGACCCTTAATATAGAAAATGGAAGTGAGAAGCATGATTTATCTAAGGCCGAAACGGAAAGATTAGTGAAAGGAATCAAAGAGCGAGAATTGGAGATTAAACTTCTAAATGAAAAGAATATATCTTTAACTAAGCAGATTGATCAGCTGTCCAAAGATGAGGTTGGTAAACTAACTCAGATCATCCAGCAGAAGGACTTGGAGATCCAGGCTCTCCATGCCAGGATCTCCTCCGCTTCCTACACGCACGATGCTGTTTACCTTCATCAGCAGCTGCAGGCCTACGCGATGGAAAGGGAACAAGTATTAGCTGTTTTGAGTGAGAAGACGAGGGAAAATAGCCACCTAAAAACAGAATATCACAAAATGATGGATATAGTTGCTGCCAAAGAGACAGCCCTCATTAAGCTGCAAGAAGAAAATAAGAAATTGTCCACGAGATTTGAAAGTAGCGGCCAGGATATGTTTAGAGAAACGGTTCAGAATTTATCACGGATCATTCGAGAAAAAGACATTGAAATAGATGCATTAAGTCAGAAGTGCCAGACTTTATTGACTGTTTTACAGACGTCCAGCGCTGATAATGCGGTGGGAAGTGTTAACAGTAACCAGTTTGAGGAGCTCCTGCGGGAGCGTGATAAGCTGAAGCAGCAGGTGAAAAAGATGGAAGAGTGGAAGCAGCAGGTGATGACCACGGTCCAGAACATGCAGCACGAGTCGGCCCAGCTCCAGGAGGAGCTCCATCAGCTTCAGGCGCAGGTGTCCGTTGACAGTGATAACAATTCTAAGTTACAGGTGGACTATACTGGCCTGATCCAGAGTTATGAACAGAATGAAACCAAGCTGAAAAATTTCGGTCAGGAACTAGCACAGGTTCAACATAGCATTGGACAGCTTTGTAATACCAAGGACCTCCTTCTAGGGAAACTGGATGTGATTTCGCCACAGTTCTCTGGATCTTCCCTCACTGTCCAATCGGCAGAGCCCCCGAGGGCAAGCCAGTCGGACAAATCGAGGGAGTCTTCTCAGTTGCTTCAACAAGAGATAGAAGAGCTCAGAAAATCACTGCAGGAGAAAGATGCCATGATTAGAACTCTCCAGGAAAACAATCACAGGTTGTCAGATTCGATGGCTGCCTCCTCGGAGCTCGGAAGAAGAGAACATGAGCAGACGGATTCAGAAATGAAGCAAATCAAGGAGAAACAAGATGTTTTACAAAAGTTGCTTAAGGAAAAAGACCTCTTAATCAAAGCCAAAAGTGATCAGTTACTTTCTCTAAATGAAAATTTCACCAGTAAAGCAAATGAAAATGAACTTTTGAGGCAGGCGGTAACAAACCTGAAGGAGCGGGTCTTAATTTTAGAAATGGACATTTGTAAACTAAAAGAGGAAAACGAAAAAATACTAGAAACGTCCAGGGGAAAGGAAACAGAGTATCAAGCGTTACAAGAGACTAACACCAAGTTTTCTATGATGCTGCGCGAAAAAGAGTTTGAAAGCCACGTCGTGAAGGAGAAGGCTCTTGCTTTTGAGCAACTGCTGAAAGAAAAAGAGCAGGTGGGTCTTGGATGGAGCCTTGGGGAGGGAAGTTGAAGTGGAGTGGAAGATGTTTCTACTGTGTTACTTACTTTACTGATGTCTTCGAAGATTCTGAATTTAATTCATTTAGAAATACTTATTTGTGGTATTATGATTCATCCTAATGAAATTTTCCTCTGAGGCGTTCTGGGAGTTTTTGCCCCCAATTGCTCTAAACCAAAAATCTAACTCACTGCCATCATGTCAATTTCCAAGACTATAAATCTTTACAGAAGCAGACTGCCTCATCTTTCTTCGGTGGAGAGGCTGGTAGGTTCAAACCACTGACCTTTTGATTAGCAGACAAATGCCTTAACCACTGCACCACCAGAGCTGCTTCAAGATTACTGGGTACTCCCAGATATTTTTTGTACTAGGTTAACTTTTTACAGCTTGTTAAGTGGCAAAAAGAATTTAACCTAACCTAACTCACTGCCACGGAGTTGGATCCAACTCATAGTGACCCCTTCTTGGGTTTCCTAGGCGGTATCACTACGGAAGTAGATTGCCCAACCTTCCTTCCAAGGAGGGGTTGGTGGGTTTGAACCGCCAGCCTTCTGGTTAGCCTTAGGCACTAAGCCACCAGAGCTCCCACTACATGTGATAGTCTATTGAAAAGAAAAAAGAAAAAAAGTAAAGTCGTAAAGGGATTGTTAGGAGTCACCAGTTCAAACTCAGCCTGGAATTTGAAGCGGTAGCCATGAGTGGTACTGTTGGCATAGTTGCCAGGTGGAATGAGCTGACTGGTGCTCATAGTAACCCTGTATGGCCGGGTGGGACTACCCCATAGTGTGTCAGCCCTATGGAAGCAGGTCATCACGCCTTTCTCCCCCCCAGCGCTGGGTGGGTTTGAGCTGCCGGCCTTTTGGGTTAGCAGCTGAGCACGTAACTGTTTGTACCACCAGGGCTCCTTTTTGAAAAAGAAGGCTCAGTAAATGCTCCTGTTCCACCCCTTTTGCTAATTTTTTTTTTTTAACCTTGTTGGTTTGTGTACTCAGCTCTTTGGAAAATTTTGGCTTCACTATCCACGAGAAGATATTGAAATAAAAAGAGCAGATGGTTTTACATTTTGCTTTCAATAAGTTGTCCTGGGAGACAGATTATGTATTCTTTAAAGAAAGAGAAAGTTTATGTGAAAACCTAAAATAATACTAAACTATAAATCGAATCATTTGATATGCATATTGAAACAGAGAAAGAATTCGCTCTAAATAGGCTGATACTTTTTTTTACGCCTTTTAGAGTTCCAACTGTCACCTTAAACTCATGACCCCACTTTTGCAGTGATCGATTGATGGGTTATCTTTTTTCTTCTGCTGTTAATATATTGTTTGCAGTGCATTTAGGAATACATTGCCATTACTGGCAAGCAAGACATTTTAAAGTTGTTTTCATTTAAAATATTGCCAATATGTTCTTTTAAAATAGGCAGTGCATATTAAGTGACTTACCTTCTCCCTGCTGCCAGCTACTTGACACTGTTACTTTGACAGTGATTGTGAATTGCCTAATAAACCCCACTGCCGTCAAGCTGATTCTCTCATAGGAACCTTTTAGGACAAAGCAGAACTGCCCTATAAGGGTTCCAAGGCTGGAAATCTTTAGGGAGGCAGCCAGCTTCACCTTTCTCCCACAGAGTGGCAAGTGGGTAGCAGTGAAATGCTTCAACCTCTACACCACCAGACCCCCTTGTATGCCCAGGAACAGATTTTTATGATCAGGTGAACACACACAGTTTTTGGGTGATTTTGTACTGTGTGAACACTTTGTTCTACAGGGTAAATCTGATCAGATTTTATCTATTTCAGTTCTTTTAAAAAACTCAAATACACTTTTTCTTTTAGAATTATTTTAGATTTATAGAAAGGTTGCAAAGGTAATGGTGTTCCCATATACCTGAGACGTGTTTTCCTTGGGAACTCTGGTGGCATAGTGCCTAAGGCATTTGACTGCTAACCAGAAGGCTGGTGGTTCAAACCCATCGGGCACTCCTGGGAAGCAGGATGGGCAATCTACTTCTGTAGTGATACCACCTTGGAAACCCAAGGGGAGGGGTCGCTATGAGTCTGTTTTCCTTATTTTTAGCATTTTACATTTCTTTGGTACAACTAATGAACGAATACTGATGCCTTATTATTAAGTAAAGTTCACACTTGATTCACATTTCTTTGGTTTTTATCGAATGTTCTTTTCCTGTCCCGGGATCCCACTCAGGACTTCACATTACATTTAATTGTCTTGTCCTGTTGGGCTCCTCTAGGCTGCGACAGGTCCTCAGACTCCTTTTCTTGATGATCTTGACATAGTTAATTATGTTTTTAAGATAACTTTTTATTTAGAAAATGTC